ATAATATATAAAGCTATTAGTCTTGAAACTTTAGCATAAATTTCACAGATTTTAGGGAAAAATAGTTTTTTATCCAGGAACACAGGAAATAGTAAACACATTTATTACATTTGTTCGTTTAAAGAACTGTTGCAAAAGGTTAATTGGGGTATTTACATTTTAAATGGTATAATTTAAGGTGTTTCTGATTTTTATATTACATTATTCAGATTTTATGAAGGTTAATAAATTAATAGCATTTTGTTTCTAATCTGAGTATTATACATGCGTTTTCTATGCTTTATAGGAACGGAGGTAAACACCACAGTGATTGGTGAAAATGATCCTATTGATGAAATTCAAGGATCCTCTTTGGAAAATTAAGGTATATATATTTATGTATTTGGGAAATGCCCTTATTTTCTTTAAACCTCTAGGCTTTCTCAGATTCTTTTCTTTTCTTTTTTTTTTTTTTTTTTTTTTTTTGAGACAGAGTCTCAGTTTGTTGCCCAGGCTAGAGTGAGTGCCATGGCGTCAGCCTAGCTCACAGCAACCTCAAATCCTGCTCAAGCAATCCTTCTGCCTCAGCCTCCAAGTAGCTGGACTACAGCATGCGCCACCATGCCCGGCTAATTTTTCTATATATTATTAGTTGGCCAATTAATTTCTTTCTATTTATAGTTGAGACGGGGTCTCGCTCTTGCTCAGGCTGGTTTTGAACTCCTGACCTCGAGCAATCGCGCCGCTCGGCTCCAGAGAGCTAGATTACAGGCGTGAGCCACCGCGCCGGCCCTTTCTCAGATTCTAAGCATCATCTTACTCATTACTATCTGAGCTTTACAGATTTTCTAACAGTGCTTTATGGAAAAGCACTAAAGAAAGCGCTTTATGGAGAAGCACTAAATGGAGAACAACCCACTTAGGTATAGTTTGCGATTTCCAGTTATTCTGGAGTGCGTCATTCATTTATTTTATTTATTTTATTTTATTATTTTATATTTTATTTTATTTATTTTATTTATTTTTTATTATTTTACATTTATTTATTTTTGAGATAGAATCTCTCTCTGTTACCTGGCCTAGAGTGCCGTGTTGTCAGCCTAGCTCACAGCAACCTCAAACTCCTGGGCTCAAGCAATCCTTCTACCTCAGCCTCCCGAGTAGCGGGACTACAGGCATGTGCGACCATGCCTGGCTAATTTTATATATATATATTTTTAGCTATCCAGATAATTTCTATTTCTAGTAGAGACGGGTCTTGTCTTGTTCAGGCTGGTTTTGAACTCCTGACCTCAAGGAATCCTCCCACCTCAGCCTCTCAGAGTGGTAGGATTACAGGTGTGAGCCACCGCACCCAGCCATGGAGTGCATTATTCTTAAATGATACTCTGGCTCCCTGTCTATGGTTTAAATTGATTTCCTTTCTGAGCCTCTCACTGATGGTATTAAGTTATATACTATTTTTGATTAATATAATATGAGAAATTAAATTGTTTCAATTAATTTCCCCCCAAAATGTGTTTTATGTTAGAGCAGGCTGGGCATGCTGCTCAGCCTGTAATCCTAGCAGTCTGGGAGGCCTAGGTGGGCAGATTGCTCGAGGCACGAGTTTGAAACCAGCCTGAACAAGAGTGAGACCCCATCTCTACTATAAATAGAAATAAATTAATTGCCAGCTAATATATATAGAAAAAAATTAGCTGGGCATGGTGGTGAATGCCTATAGTCCCAGCTACGCAGGAGGCTGAGCCAGTAGGATCCCTTGAGCCCAGGAGATTGAGATTGCTGTGAGCTAGGCTGATGCCACGGCACTCACTCTAGCCTGGGCAACAAAGTGAGACTTGTCTCAAAGAAAAACAAAAAAAAAGCTCACAATTTAGTGAGGAAAACATAAAAATAAATAATTAAAAAAAAAGTTAGAGCAGTCATAGTTATTTGCTTATGGTAAACACATTCGGAAGAAAATGCAAAAATACAGTGGATTTTATAGGTGCTCAATTGAAATATGTTTTAGTAAGATAGCTTTTTGTGAAAGGGGATATAAATGTTTTATACAGAATTTAAAAATTCCTAATACCATCACCATTTATGAGAGGATCATAGTATTTTATAGTTGAAGAGTCTTTAGTGTTATTTTAGTTTTGCAGTTATTCTCTTGTGGCTTAATTGTGCAGAACCTAAATTTGCTTTATCTGGAAATTTTATATTAGGAATCTACAATGCGCTTTTTCCCCCCACTTTTTCATATTTTTATTAGTCAAATGATACAAAACAAACCACCATTGTGTAAATGTCCAAGCACCCCAGCCGGTCCTGTCACTGCAATGTCACACCTCCTTTGCTTCTCCCCAGCCTGCTGTCCCTCCTCCCCTGTCCATAGCCTGAGGGAAAGTCCTGGGAGGACGCTGGGTCAGAGCTGAAGGCAGAAGGGACAGCACTGAACAGACAGCCACGGTTTGCGTTGGGAGGACATTAGGAGGGTTTGGTTCTTAAAGACCAAATTTTAGTTCCAAATATCCAGCCCATATTCCCAGCCCTATTCTTCAAATCATTTCCATAGCCCCACTTCTCTCTGCCCTCCCTCACTACCAAATTCTTTGGTCCTGCACTGTCTTTATCCCTCCAGCCATCCCTCAATATCCATCCCTGTCCTGACCCACCCCAAGCCTTCCCTTTGTGGTGCTCCTGTACCCATAAGCACCATGGAGCACCAGGATGGAAGTGCTGAGAAACCCTGGGAAGGCTGTTGGGACCTGACTTTTCAGAGGTGAGGAGAGGTGCAGGCTGGAATAGGCGGTGGGGAAGGAAGGAGCTTTTATTTAACACCAGTCTCTAAGGTCCCCTCTCCCCAACCTGCCAGGCATTCCAGGGGGAGCTCTAACTCCCTCGGACAGGCTCTCTGCTTCACACTCTTGGCTGTTTCTCCGATCAGCTCCCAGAAACTCCTGAACCCAGCTGCCCAAGTTGGTTGATTTCTCTTCCAGCCACCCACAGTTCCTCGCATGAGGTGGGGCAGCTGCTGGGTGACCAGGTCCTGTAGCTCGAGGGGGTCAGCGTCTCCTATCCCCCGCTCCATGGAGTATGGTGGAAGTTCTTGATGAGGCCTCAATGGCCCTCTCCACATCACGAAATTCCTGGGCATCCTCAGCATTGCTGGCGACACTGTCCCATGGTGCCTGGTGCGCTTGGTCCTTTGGTGAGTTTGTTGTCCTATAAGCCTGCCCCAGAGAGCTGGATGCTCATGATCTGCTTGGCAGCCGTTGACGCGGATAGGAGCTACAATGCGCTTTTTTTTTGATACGAAAACAATTATACAGAATAATATATCTATGCTCAGTTCATATACTTCAGCCTCTGACATTGGCCAAATGAGATGACTTAACCAGAGAATGGTTTAGCAGAGATATCTTAGTTCAAGTTGATTTACTGTTGACATGTTGAATTGATCGATGCATATGTACAGTTCTTCTTGTTTAATATCAATTTGGCTTATTTAAAAAAATTTTTTTATTTTGCATATATGGGGTACCAATTTAAGGTTTCATAAATCCCTTTCTCCCTCCCCCCACAAGTCTAAGTTTCCAGCAAATTTTGGCCTCCCTTAATAAGTAATCAGGTTTTAATTTTATTGATTAGGCTTATGGAATCCTTTCAATGTTCATATTTTTAATGTTTTTGGATAGCATTATGATTTTATATCATAGCACAAAGGTATTATGTGACTTGAAGCTATTTTACCTTTTGGACTTCAGAATAGTTTATTAGCTATACAAAGTAATGGACCAGTTCTGTATTTTTATCATGAAAAGTGTTGTACAGGGTAAGTGTCCTTTTCAGCAATACTTGGAACTAGTAGAGTTTAGATTCTCAGATTTTGGAATATTTGCATTTATGTACTAGTTGGCATCCCAAATGAAAGTCTAAACACCAGAATGCTTCAGTGAGCATTTTCCTTTGAGTGTCATGTGGCACACTCAAAAAGTTTTGGATTTGTGGAGCATTTTGGATTTTGAGTTTTAGATTTGAGATGCTCAACATTTTGTAACTGACTGGAAATGGATTTGGTTGGAGGTAAAGGTCTCAGTGAATATTTAATTCTGCATGTTACATTTAAGAAATTTTGAGCCAAGGTGGTGGCTCATGCCTGTATCCCACACTTTTTAGGCTGAATAGAAGTTTCCTTGAGCCCAAGAGTTGAGACCAGCCTGGGCAACTAGTGAGAACTTTGTCTCTGTAAAAATAAAAAAATACCTGGTGTGGTGGCACGTGCCTGTTGTCACAGCTAACATGTGTAAGCTGAGGCAAGAAGATCACTGAGCTAGACTTTTGAATCCAAATTTTATAGAAGAAATCCCTTTAATAAAGGAATTTGTTCTGTGAAGTTTGGCTTTAGTTCAGGACCTGCACTTGGGGATCCCAAGGGCCACATGTGGCCTTGAGGGTGCAGGTGCCCCACCCCTGTGAGGGTTTTTTTTTGTTTTGTTTGTTTGTTTGCTTCTGAGATTATGCAGGGAGACCTGTGAGGGTTATGAATTTATTATTTCATCTACAAGTTTTATATGTTGTCCTTTTAGCCCATTTTAAAGATAAAAAATGATCAGTTTAGGTAGTAAAGCAAATGAAAAATAACCTAGTCATCATTTTGATTTCCTCAGTAATTATTATATTTAGGATTAAGTTGCCTAATTGCAAATTCTTCAGAAATTTAACATTAAAAAATTCTTTGTTCATAATATATAAAGCTATTAGTCTTGAAACTTTAGCATAAAATTTCACAGATTTTAGGGGAAAAATATGTTTTTTATCCAGGAACACAGGAAATAGTAAAACACATTTATTACATTTGTTCGTTTAAAGAACTGTTGCAAAAGGTTAATTGGGGTATTTAACATTTTAAATGGTATAATTTAAGGTGTTTCTGATTTTTATATTACATTATTCAGATTTTATGAAGGTTATAAATTTAATAGCATTTTTGTTTCTAATCTGAGTATTATACATGCGTTTTCTATGCTTTATAGGAACGGAGGTAAACACCACAGTGATTGGTGAAAATGATCCTATTGATGAAATTCAAGGATTCCTCTTTGGAAAATTAAGGTATATATATGTTATGTATTTTGGGAAATGCCCTTATTTTCTTTAAACCTCTAGGCTTTCTCAGATTCTTTTCTTTTCTTTTTTTTTTTTTTTTTGAGACAGAGTCTCAGTTTGTTGGCCAGGCTAGAGTGAGTGCCATGGCGTCAAGCCTAGCTCACAGCAACTCTAAAACTCCTGGGCTTCAAGCATCCTTCTGTCCTCAGCCTCCCAAGTAGCTGGGATACAGGCATATCCCACCATGCCGGCTAATTTTTTATATATATATAGTTGGCCAATTATTTCTTCTATTTATAGTAGAGACGGGTCTTCGTCTTCTCAGGCTGGTTTAACCTCCTGAAACCTCGAGCAATCCGCCCGCCTCGGCCTCCCAGAGAGCTAGGATTACAGGCGTGAGCCACCGCGCCCGGCCTCTTTCTCAGATTCTAAGCATCATCTTACTCATTACTATCTGAGCTTTACAGATTTTCTAACAGTGCTTTATGGAAAAAGCACTAAAGAAAGCGCTTTATGGAGAAGCACTAAAATGGAGAAACAACCACTTAGAGTATAGTTTGCGATTTCCAGTTATTCTGGAGTGCGTCATTCATTTTATTTTATTTATTTTATTTTATTATTTTATATTTTATTTTATTTATTTTATTTTATTTTTTTATTATTTTACATTTATTTTATTTTTTGAGATAGAATCTCTCTCTGTTACCTGGCCTAGAGTGCCGTGTTGTCAGCCTAGCTCACAGCAACCTCAAACTCCTGGGCTCAAGCAATCCTTCTACCTCAGCCTCCCGAGTAGCTGGGACTACAGGCATGTGCGACCATGCCTGGCTAATTTTATATATATATATTTTTAGCTATCCAGATAATTTCTATTTCTAGTAGAGACGGGGTCTTGTTCTTGTTCAGGCTGGTTTTGAACTCCTGATCTCAAGGAATCCTCCCACCTCAGCCTCTCAGAGTGGTAGGATTACAGGTGTGAGCCACCGCACCCAGCCATGGAGTGCATTATTCTTAAATGATACTCTGGCTGCCTGCCTATGGTTTAAATTGATTTCCTTTTCTGAGCCTCTCACTTGATGGTATTAAGTTATATACTATTTTTTGATTAATATAATATGAGAAATTAAATTGTTTCAATTAATTTCCCCCCCCCAAAATGTGTTTTATGTTAGAGCAGGCTGGGCATGCTGGCTCACGCCTGTAATCCTAGCAGTCTGGGAGGCCTAGGTGGGCAGATTGCTCGAGGTCACGAGTTTGAAACCAGCCTGAACAAGAGTGAGACCCCATCTCTACTATAAATAGAAATAAATTAATTGGCCAGCTAATATATATAGAAAAAATTAGCTGGGCATGGTGGTGCATGCCTATAGTCCCAGCTACGCAGGAGGCTGAGCCAGTAGGATCCCTTGAGCCCAGGAGATTGAGATTGCTGTGAGCTAGGCTGATGCCACGGCACTCACTCTAGCCTGGGCAACAAAGTGAGACTCTGTCTCAAAGAAAACAAAAAAAAAAGCTCACAATTTAGTGAGGAAAACATAAAAATAAATAATTAAAAAAAAAAGTTAGAGCAGTCATAGTTATTTGCTTATGGTAAACACATTCGGAAGAAAATGCAAAATACAGTGGATTTTATAGGTGCTCAATTGAAATATGTTTTAGTAAGATATGCTTTTTGTGAAAGGGGATATAAAATGTTTTTAATTACAGAATTTAAAAAATTCCATAATACCATCACCATTTTATGAGAGGATCATAGTATTTTATAGTTGAAGAGTCTTCTTAGCTGTTATTTTTAGTTTTGCATTTATTTCTCTTGTGGCTTAATTGTGCAGAACCCTAAATTTTGCTTTATCTGGAAATTTATAATTAGGACATCTACAATGCGCTTTTTCCCCCCACTTTTTTCATATTTTTATTAGTCAAATGATACAAAACAAACCACCATTGTGTAAATGTCCAAGCACCCAGCCGGTCCTGTCACTGCAATGTCACACCCTCCTTTGCTTCTCCCCCAGCCCTGCTGTCCCTCCTCCCCTGTCCTAGCCTAGGGAAAGTCCTGGGAGGAGGCTGGGTCAGAGCTGAAGGCAGGAAGGGACAGCACTGAACAGACAGCCACGGTTTGCGTTGGGGAGGACATTAGGAGGGGTTTGGTTCTTAAAGACCAATTTTAGTTCCAAATATCCAGCCATATTCCCAGCCCTATTCTTCAAATCATTTCCCATAGCCCAGCTTCTCTCTGCCCTCCCTCACTACCAAATTCTTTGGTCCTTGCACTGTCTTTATCCCTCCAGCCATCCCTCAATATCCATCCCTGTCCTGACCCACCCCCAAGCCTTCCTCTGGTGGGTGCTCCTGTACCCATAAGCACCATGGAGCACCCAGGATGGAAGTGCTGAGAAACCCTGGGGAAGGCTGTTGGGACCTGGACTTTTCAGAGGTGAGGAGAGGTGCAGGCTGGGGAATAGGCGGTGGTGGAAGGAAGGAGCTTTTATTTGTAGACCACAGTCTCTAAGGTCCCCTCTCCCCAACCTGCCAGGCATTCCAGGGGGAGCTCTCAACTCCCTCGGACAGGGCTCTCTAGCTTCACACTCTTGGCTGTTTCTCCGATCAGCTCCCAGAAACTCCTGAACTCCAGCTGCCCAAGTTGGTGATTTTCTCTTCCAGCCCACCCACAGTTCCTCGGCATGAGGTGGGGCAGCTGCTGGGTGACCAGGTCCTGTAGCTCAGAGGGGGTCAGCGTCTCCTTCCCCCGCTCCATGGAGTATTGGTGGAAGTTCTTGATGAGGGCCTCAATGGCCCTCTCCACATCACTGAATTCCTGGGCATCCTCAGCATTGGCTGGCCGACACTGTCCCATGGTGCCTGGTGCGCTTGGTCCTTTGGTGAGTTTTGTTGTCCTATAGCCTGCCCCAGAGGAGCTGATGGCTCATGATCTGCTGGCAGCCGTTGACACGGGATAGGAGCTACAATGCGCTTTTTTTTGGATAGAAAACAATTATACAGAAATAATATATGCTATGCTCAGTTTCATATACTTCAGCTCTGACATTTGGCCAAATGAGATGACTTAACCAGAGTAATGGTTTAGCAGAGATATCTTAGTTCAAGTTGATTTACTGTTGACATGTTGAATTGATCGTATGCATATGTACAGTTCTTCTTGTTTAATATCAATTTTGGCCTCATTTAAAAAAATTTTTTTTTATTTTGGCATATTATGGGGGTACCAATTTTAAGGTTTCTATAAATGCCCTTTCTCCCCTCCCCCCACAAGTCTAAGTTTCCAGCAAATTTTGGCCTCATTAATAAGTAATCAGGTTTTAATTTTATTTGATTAAGGCTTATGGAATCCTTTTTCATGTTCATATTTTTAATGTTTTTTGGATAGCATTATGATTTTATGCATTCATAGCACAAAGGTATTATGTAGAGCATTGAAGCTATTTTACCTTTTGGACATTCAGAATAGTTATTTAGCTATACAAAGTAATTGGACCAGTTCTGGTATTTTTATCATGAAAAAGTGTTTGTACAGGGTAAGTGTCCCTTTTCAGCAATACTTGGAACTAGTAGAGTTTTAGATTTCAGATTTTGGAATATTTGCATTTTATGTACTAGTTGGGCATCCCAAATGTGAAAGTCTAAACACCAGAATGCTTCAGTGAGCATTTCCTTTGAGTGTCATGTGCACACTCAAAAAGTTTTGGATTTTGGAGCATTTTGGATTTTGAGTTTTAGATTTGAGATGCTCAACATTTTGTAACTGACTGGAAATGGATTGGTTGGAAGGTAAAGGGTCTCAGTGAATATTTTAATTTCTGCATGTTACATTTAAGAAATTTTGAGCCAGGAGTGGTGGCTCATGCCTGTAATCCCAACACTTTTTGAGGCTGAAATAGGAAGTTTCCTTGAGCCCAAGAGTTTGAGACCAGCCTGGGCAACATAGTGAGACTTTGTCTCTGTAAAAAATAAAAAAATTAGCCTGGTGTGGTGGCACGTGCCTGTTGTCACAGCTACATGTGAAGCTGAGGCAAGAAGATCACTGGAGCCTAGGACTTCAAGGCTGCAGTGAGCTATGATCATACCACTGTACTCCAGTCTGAGTGACAGAGCAAGACATTGTCTCTTAAAAAACATGTTTTTTTCTTTGAGTTTTAGCATTTAAAAGAACGGAATTAGGCCAGGCGGGGTGGTTCACGCCTGTAATCTAGGCAATCTGGGGCCAGGGCGGGCGGATGCTCGAGGTCAGGAGTTCAAAAACCCGCCTGAGCAAGACCCTGTCTCTACTAAAAATAGAAAGAAATTAATTGGACAACTAAAAATATATATACAAAAAATTGCGGGCAGGGTGGCGCGATGCCTATAGTCCCAGCTACTTGGGAGGCTGAGACAGAAGGATCGCCTGAGCCCAGGAGTTTGAGGTTGCTGTGAGCTAGGCTGATGCCACGGCACTCACTCTAGCCTGAGCAACAAAGTGAGACTCTGTCTCAAAAAAAAAAAAAAAAAGAACGGAATTAATCTACTGAATCTTTCTGTGTGATCTAAATGTTATATCTCTGCCTCTGATCCTTCTACTTTACTAGCTTTATATGGAATGTACTATATTTAAAATAAAACAAACTCAATAGCCATGATTAGCCTGAATTGTATTCACATGACTAAAGGATTTATCAGCATGTTGTAGGCTGAAAAAATTCATTTTGGGACTGATAGCATTTTTCCCCCCAATTTTATTTGTGAAATAAATAGATTCAGATACTATGAAGAATAATATATGTCAACATACTCACTACCCAGAATTGATTGTTGCTGTCATAATTACTATTTTTTTTTTTTTGAGACAGAGTCTCACTTTGTTGCCTGGGCTAGAGTGAGTGCTGTGGCATCAGCCTAGCTCACAGCAACCTCAAACTCCTGGGCTCAAGCGATCCTCCTGCCTCAGCCTCCTGAGTAGCTGGGACTATAGGCATGTGCACCATGCTAGCTAATTTTTTCTATATATACTAGTTGGGCAATTAATTTCTTTCTATTTACTGTAGAGACACGGGGTCTTGCTCTTGCTCAGGCTGGTTTTGAACTCCTGACCTCGAGCATTCCGCCGCCTCAGCCTCCCAGAGATTGATTCTCCTGGTAACAGGCATGAGCCACCTCGCCCAGCCATACTTACTTTTCGATCGCAAGAATTATTTATCAAGTTCTCTTTTTCAGCATAAGTCTTCTTTACTTTAAAACAAAAGAAAACATAAAAACACCAGGTCAGTTAAAGCCTTTTTGTTACCCATTCTTATCTTATTGCCTTCTCCATTAGGAATTCACTGTCGGTGTTGATTTTCCTAGCTTACAATTGTCTATTTAATCGTGTGTATTTATATTATATATATATATTTTTTTTTTTTTTTTTGAAATAGTCTTGCTGTCACCCAGTCTAGAATGCAGTGATATCATGACGTGCTCACGCACCTTAAACTCCTGGGGTTCAGTGATCATTCTTGCTCAGCCTCTTGAGTAGCTGGGACTATAGCTACTGAGTACTATCTTACTGAGAGTCCTAAGAGGACTAATACCATCAACATAGTTTTTTCTTTCAGGTATCAAACACTTCGTCTGTGTAGCACGTTGCTCCAAATATACACAAGATAGAACAGTGTTGTCAAATTAGTTATGTGAACTGAGGACACTCTGTGCCTTGCTTTATTCATCTGTAATTTTGGATTTATATATTAATAGCATCTGCTTCATAGGGTCATTAGAAGCTTAACTGTCACCTTAGAACAGTGCCTGACACATTATCAAAATAGCTAGCATCCTTCCTATTGCATTAATTTAGGAGCTCCTTCCAATCACACTCTCAGCAAGAGATGAAATCACATGCTGGTTTGTGCCTGGTGTACCACAGGCCTGGCTAATTTTCTCCCCTCCCTCCCCTCCCTCCCCCTCCCCTCCCCTCCCTCCCCTCCCCTCCCCTCCCTCCCTGCTTTCCTCCCCTCCTCCCTCCCTCCTCCTCTCCTTCCCCTATTTTAGTTATCAACTAATTTCTTACTATTTTTTTAGTAGAGTTGTGGTCTCACTCTTTCTCAGGCTGGTCTTGAACTCCTGAGCTCAAACAATCTGCCTGCTTCAGCCTCCCTGAGTGCTAGGATTACAGGGGTGAGCCACCACGCCCGGCCCTGGCTAATGTTTAAATATTTTTTGTAGAAGGGCAGTTCACTATGTTGCCCAGGCTGGTCTAGAACTCCTGGCCTCAAGCAATCCTCCCTTTCCAGCCTCCCAAAGTTTTAGAATTACAGATGTGAGGCACTGCACCCAGCCTATGTATTTATTTATTTATTTATTTTTATGGACTTAGGAGGTACAAGTACAGTTTTGTTACATGGGTATATATTGTGTAGTGGTGAAGTCTGGGCTTTTAGTGTGGCCCTGATTCAAATAGTATACATTGTATCTATTAAGTAATTTCTTATCCCTAACCTTCCTCCCACCCTCACATCCTTCTGAGTTTTCAGTGTCTATTATTCCACTATCTATGTTGATGTGTATATATTATTTAGCTCCTGCTTATAAAAGTGAGAACAAACATGAGGTATTTCACTTAAGAGAATGGCATCCAGTTCCATTCATATTATTACAAGAGACAAGATTTCATTCTCTTGCTGAGTAGTGTTCCATGCTGTTTTCTTAGTGTTGGGACTAGCAAATCATTAAGGTAAAGTTGAAGCTAACTTCTAAGTGTGCTTTGAGAAAGAAGAAACAATGAAATGGACTGATTTTATGTTTCTTTCAGAGACCTGCACCCTGACCTTAAAGGACAGCTAAAGGAACTCAGAAAGCACCTTGTGGAGAGCACCAATGAAATGGCACCTTTAAAAGTTTGGCAGTTGCAAGGTAACGAGAACATGGAGAGGTTATTAACCTAATTTTTGTGGCATTAAAAAATGTAAAATTTGAATTTAATTGTATATAATTATATTATTTTGTGGGTGACACAGATTTTAAATTAGATTAGTTATGATTAATCAAAGAAAGGAGGAAAGTCCTTTTATAGACAGATAATTCTAAGTAGAAGTGTATGTGTGTGTATATATATATACACACACACATTATTATATGTATTGTATATATTATATATAATATATATATAAATGAGTGCCAAATATTTCTCTGTGGCCAGAGAAAGATATATAAGCTTATAATACTAGAAGCATGTCATTGTTCCTGTATGTACACATTTTTTAAATTGTGTATCCAGAGTGATAAAAGCATGTCAATTTTGTAGGATGTTCTTATACTTCTCTGTTCCAAACAACTGTTTCTCCAGATTTTTTTCCCAGCATAATTTTCTAAAAGCCCCAATGCTCTATTTTGTGATATATTATAAATTTGGAAGAGGGAATAGGATTTGGGCTTGATTTAACCACTGGTATATGTGTTGGTATGTTCCCTAGTGTTTTATGCAGATATCTCGTGAACAGCTTGTTGTACTCTAGTGATCTCTGAGGTGAATAAAACCTGAAATTAAACTCTGGGCACTCTCTGGAATGGCTGCATTCCAAGGCATTCTTAATTACCAAAAAAATAATGGGGAGTAAATGTGTTTTTTCCCCTGCTTCTCATTGCATTAGATTAATACACTTTAAATTACTTTTGACATTGTTGCAGATCTAAGTTTTCAGACAGCTGCTCGAATCTTGTCTGCTCCTGTTGAGTTGGCTTTGGTGGTTATGAAGGATCTTAGTCAAAATTTTCCTACTAAAGCCAGGTAATATAGAGTAAGGCTTTGATATATTCTTCTCCTTAACATGATATCCAGTTTCTTCATGTTTACATGCCAAATTAGGTAATTAAAATATTAAAATGCGTAGAAAATTAAAATTCTCTAATTCTCTACCACCACTATACACTGTGAATGGTATGGTACTCTGTTTTAGGGAAGAGGGCAAGAGCATGCATTGTGTGGTTGAAGAGACAGATGTAACTAATGTTCTTCTGACTGCCACTTACTATTAGTAGTTGTGTGACCTTTGCAAATAAATGATCTCACTTTACCCTACTTTCCTCAGTAGTGAAATGGGAATAAAAATAACCTGCCTTTCAGGATTGGATGAGTCATAAAATATAACATATACTGATGTAACTAATCTAGTGTCTGACAGAGACCATAGATGGGCATATATATCATGTTATTGAATCTTCATGAAGAAACTGAGTCATAGAAGCTTAGTGACTTGTTCATTGTGTCAGAATAAGATTTTGAATGTAGGTTTTCTTACATTGCTTTCAATTCTGTAATGGTGCTCCACATCTCATGAATGTAAGGCAAAATTGCTTCAAAAGCCAATGTTTTAGAAATTGCTGCCTTAATGGTTGCTGATCTTTTTCTTGAGTCACTGAATGAAGTGTTTTGACTTCTGGTGTGAGATGTTTTGTAAATAAATTTGATTATTATTATATGATTTATATGTCCCTTAGGTCTTATAGTAAGTTCTCATTTAGTTCAGCATGTTACTTGAAGCTATACATGGAGGATTTCACCTATACCATAAGTGCTTAAATAGGATGAGCAATCTTCTGCCTTAGTTTATTTAACATTCTTCTTCTTCTTCTTCTTTTTTTTTAAAGACAGAGTCTCACTTTGTTGCCCAGGCTAGAGTGAGTGCTGTGGCGTCAGCTTAGCTCACAGCAACCTCAAACTCCTGGGCTCAAGCGATCCTCCTGCCTCAGCCTCCCGAGTAGCTGGGACTATAGCCATGTGCCACTATGCCCGGCTAATTTTTAATATATATTTCAGTTGGCCAATTAATTTCTTTCTATTTATAGTAAAGATGGGGTCTCGCTCTTGCTCCGGCTGGTTTCGAACTCCTGACCTTGAGCAATCCTGCTGCCTTGGCCTCCCAGAGTGCTAGGATTATAGGCGTGAGCCACCGCGCCCAGCCTGCAGATGCTTTAAAATGTTGCTAGTACTGCTACTTTTCCTTTGTGTTATATCATATAAAATATAAAATATGCTCCTGAGAAAGGAGAAGTATATTTATCCATTGTAAAGGTTTAATTTTTTTCCATTTAATTTTTTATAATTTATTGATGTTTTATATTTTAAAATATAGGAATTAAAGACATTTATATCAAAGTTAAACCAAGTGCTGATAATGTTTTTATTTCCTCAGAGCAATAACAAAAACAGCTGTGAATTCAGAACTTAGAACTGAAGTAGAAGAGAATCAGAAGGTATTAACCAGTGGATAATACTGACCTTTTTGTTTTGTATTGTATCTTTAACTTACTGACTGCCATACTAGAAAAAAAGTTTTTCCTTGAGGCCATGGTCTTTTATTACGAAAATAGAATAAAAATTTTGAAAACAAAATGATCCTTTATAATTTAATGAAAAATGTGTTATTTTTTATTGTTTTCTGAGTGAATTATACATGCAGCTTGAAAAATAGTTCACGCAGGTCCCAAGGTAAAGATATATGAGTAACACATGCTTCAGGAGGCCCCAGGCTCACAAGTAGCGTGAGATACAACTCACATGGCAGTTAATGTGTTAAAGATGAGGAAATCGGAGTTTAGTCAGTAGAAATTAATAGTATTGCTCTCCTTTTATTAAAGATGGTAATATTTTGTTCATTTCTGTAATCATTGTATTTTGAGATTTTTGCCTTTTTTTTTTTTTTTTTTTTTCTGAGGCAGGAGGATCGCTTGAGCCGAGGAGTTTGAGGTTGCTGTGAGCTAGGCTAGCCACAGCACTCTAGCCAGGGCAAAAGAGTGAGACTCTGCCTCAAAAAAAAAGCAAAAATGGCCGGGCGCTGTGGCTCACGCCTGTAATCCTAGCTCTTGGAGGCCGAGGCGGGCGGATTGCTCAGGTCAGGAGTTCAAAACCAGCTGAGCAGCGCCGCCGTCTCCTACTATAAAATGAAAGAATTAATTGGCCAACTGATATATATATAAAAAAAAAAAAAAAAATTAGCCGGGCATGTGGCGCATGCTGTAGTCCCAGCTACCCGGGAGGCTGAGGCAGAAGGATCACTCGAGCCCAGGAGTTTGAGGTTGCTGTGAGCTAGGCTGACGCCACGGCACTCACTCTAGCCTGGCAACAAAGCGAGACTCTGTCTCAAAAAA